GGTGCTGGTGAAATTATAGGCACATGAGACTTGTCAACTTATGTCTCAGGGTGACGGGCGCAGTGGCAGTGCCTCTCAGATCTTTGCGATTTAAATCTCTGAGTGGCATTGCAACTGTTATAGACAGGTATGTAGCTTACCATCAGGCGCACGACTTATTCATTCCGTCACTTGATATTATAAAAGAAAATCTATTTGCCAAGTTTTATTGCACATCCTCAGAGATGTCCTGTGAATCCTGTGATCCTGTCGAATGAATAAGATTCATCGAAATCGGTTCATAAATGTCAGAATAATCATCGTCGTCATCAAATCAGCCGGAAGACGTCCACTGCTGAACATGGGCCTGAGTAACCGCGTAACATCAACAAAGTAAGGATTGAGAACCTTCCTGAAAACCTTGAGAGTACACAGAAATTTTCAATAAAAATCAGGATGGAAATAAAAATTCTTAAGTGTCGATACAAACTTTGGAAAAAATATATAGTAAATCCAGTAGTAAAACCAACGCACACACACACACACACACACACACGCGCGCGTACACGCACACAAACACACGCACACAAACACATACGCACAGAGATTTTTCTATTTTTTCTATTTGTTTTATTTTCTAATTAGCTATCAATTTTATTTCACTCTTTAATTTTCATTATTTTTGTTAAATTTTATTAGCGTTACTTTTCTGATAAACTTGTCAAAAGGGTGTGAGCTGGTGATCTGTAACACAGGTCCCCAATCTAGTACAGACTCCAGCTCTCACTAAGGTGCTTCATATTTAACATGAAATGTAACAAATCTGCATTTTGTAAACCTTTTTGAGAGAAATAAAGCATTTTGTATTTGTATTTGTATTAATCTTTTCTCTATTTTCTCAGGTGTCTAACAGCACTGGCAGTCGTACTGTGCCTTCTACATTTTACTGCTAGCTTTAATATACCAACCACAAACACATGAGAACACAATACACGCACAATCAGTTTTGGTTTTATTACATCGCACCTACTCTACACGTACACCCATTTTTATAGCATTCGTTTTTACTTTTTGATTTGCGTTTAAGTCTTGATTTACGCCTAGTTAAGTCTATTGTACTTTTTTAAATTATTTTATCTGCTTGGACGAAGCGACATCATCATCCTTGTTATTTATTCACTGAAAACCAGCGCGTTAATTTTAAATGTAATTCTTTTATTTTGTATTTATCATAAGATCATTTTATTTTTGTTATCCTTCTGTTATACATATTTGTCATAAGTTTATCAAATAAACTACATTTCTTTCTTTCTTTCTTTCTTTCTAAGTTTGATTTACATTAATTAGTACATGGTGTAAGAACACGATTCCTAAAGCTTACCTCGAAATTTTTTATTTAATAGGTACTTTATATGTACCAATGATTTTTTTTATATCAACTGAACTTAATAGAGCACGTATATTATATGGTATACATTTTTCAAATGGTTTTAATTTCGTTAGTTAAAAATAAATTCTGAAATAAAGCCAGTGTCCCGGTCGCTCGACCCAAGCAAAATGAATCGTATTGGTACGGGAGAAAATTGAATTCGAACTGACGTAGTGTCGACTTTTCAGGCGTTTTTCATCAAATACGAGTGCGCAATTGACCTCTCAATTGATGGAAAGTGACAATGAGGTTGACACTATGGATCAGGCACACCTAAATAATACCTATTCGCTCTCGCCTTGACAAAACCAATTTTATGGCGTTCAGAGAATAAGTCTGCAAGCAGGGAATTCCACTCCATAGCCGTTCGCCTTACAAATGTGGATACCTCTGTAGCGGTCCCATCCAAATTGGTAACCTATCACAGTCGATAATTTCTTTATCCGAAATAACGTATGTTCGAATTTTCATTACACCGAAAACCGAATTATAACGAAACAGTTGTTCTTTCAGGATATGTTGAATATTTATAGCAAAGACACTATTAAGTTCAGTAAGGTTAGGTTTAAACGAAAAAACATTTTCCTCTCAAAATTACTTTCGAGGTTATGAAATTTCGACCAAAGGTTATTTCTGGAAAATGTCATTCCTGACTACTGATAGGTAACCATTCAAATTTGAAGTGAATATTCCACCCGTTAGGTTGGCAAAGTAGGAGATCAATCCGGTTTATTATATTTTGCTCACTTTCCGTTAACCGATTCTAATGAAACTTGGCAAATAGATGTATGTAAATAAACTTTTGAGGTTGGTCTTTTAACCGACTTCAAAAAGAAAAGGAGGAGGTTCTCAATTCGACTGTGTTCTTTTGTTTTTTATAATATCTAGTGACGGGACGAACAGTTGCAGTGCCACTCAGAGCTTTAAATCGCAAAGATCTGAATGGCGCTGCCACTGCGCCTGTCACCCTGAGACATAAGTTGACAAGTCCCATTTTTGATAAGTTCACCAACACCCTTACCCTTCAAAACCGCAACACGGTAATGATGACATCACTGCTTGGTAGCAGAAATAGGTAAGGTGGCAGTACTTCCCAGGACGAACTCTTTCACAATGAGTTCTACTGCTACTAAATGTTACTGTTACTTTGGCATTTGTGAACCGACTTTTTTGTTGTAAAGACAGTACCTCAATATTGGCCGCATTTAAATTTGAAGAAAATGTTCCACCTGTAAAAACTAGGGGATAAATCTGGTTTCGCGCACTTTCCGATCCACAGTCCACACTGCGAACGAAGTTAGCTAACTTAGCTTAGCTTACGTAGTTGCGTGCAAAACTAAGCTAAAAAATACGTAGTGAGTAGTGATTCGTGTCAGAAGGGTGACATATTATATATACCTTAGCGGGATCGTTGGGTTAGTTTAGTTAGTTCGCGTTGTGAACCGAAGTTTGAAAAGCCCCGGCTACGTGAGCTAATGTAGCTTAGCTTCGTTCAAGGTGTGGCCCGCGTATTAAACTTGGCAAATACATATATGCAATTCCACGAACTTTTGACAACGGTTTCTTTTTAATAAAAAAGTTGGAAATATTTTATAAAAAAAATATAATTAAACAATCGCGCTATCTATGAATCCCGATGTTTTTCTAATCGATCTCACGTGACCACATAACACATAATAATGTAAAATACCTTATTTCGTCACGTTCGCTTATGGTCGACTATAATCGTGTGGATATCTGCCACTGTTTGGCATGTGTCTCACATATTTCTTCGAATCGTATGTACAAGTTTCGCAGCCTCACATGCTTTGACAATCGTCGGTAGCACGTGACAATGTTATCGATAAATCATATCATTTTTTTGTCACGTTCGTCCATGCCGCATCTCGTATAAAGCTTTTGTTATCATATCGATTGCTATGAAATCACTTCGTGACGATTACACCTTTTTTACTGATAGCCCTTACGTGTTGCAAAGTTTCTTTTTTGTCGTGTTTGTTGAGATACGATGTTTTGAAACGTTTTTCTTTACAATACAATACAATACAATAATAAATTATACATGTCAAAAATCAATATAATTTTTTTTTAGATGCAATACAAAAAACAAAAAATAAAAAACATAAATTAATGTACATTTGTCCCGTATGCAATTCATTATTATTCTTCTGATTGCGATAAAATTTCGTGAGTTATATAATAGCAATAGAGCTCCTAGCGAGAGGTCGTCCAGGGAAGTCCTGCCAACTTACCTATTTCTGCCGCCAAGCAGTAATGTGAGCATTACTGCGTTCCGGTTTTGAAGAGTAAGGATACTGGTGAATTTACAAGCACATGGAACTTGTCAACTTACGTCTCGGGGTGCAGCACAGTGGCAGATATTTGTAACAAGTACATAGAAAAATTCGTAAGGTCCGCTAGTTTGTTCCGTGGCTTAGCGTGTGTCACGATTTGCTGGAATACGTTTTTTCGGATTCAGCCGGATTGAAGGATTTTTTTTGTGTTCGATCTTCATATTAATATTTATACTAGATTTAGGCCCGAAATAAATAGTTTCACTTCCCAGACACCACGTTAAAATTACGTCACAGTAAATTAATTGTAATTTACAATTTTGTATAAAAAAGGCACTGCCAGCCTCTTAGAGCTTTGAGATTTAAAGCTCTGAGTGGCGCAGCAACTGTCATGGACAGGCATGTGTCGCTTACCATC